AGTGGGCATCCACAGCTGAGAACCACTAAGTTCAGCTCTACCATGCCGAAAATAATCTTGAATGGATTTCCCAGCCTCCTGTCCACCCCTTGCCTTTCTCCCCATCAAAAAGCTGTTCTACTACAATGTAAGCCAGGAAAAAGTGGAGACGTTTAAGAGAAGACAGGAACAAAAGGAGGGTTCATAAACCATTTGTTTTCTGTTCCTGTGTTAATTTACTTCGGATAATGGCCTCCAGCTGCATCTACGTTGTTATAAAGGACATGATTTTATTATTTTTTATGGCTGTGTAGTATTCCATGGTGTATATGTACCATATTTCCTTTATCCAAGCCACCATTGATGGGCATCTGGGCTGATTGCATGTTTTTGCTATTCTGAATAAAGCTGTGATGAACACATGGGTGCATGTGTCTTTGGTAGAATGATTTGTTTTCCTTTGGGTATATACCTAATAATGGGATTGCTGGGTTCAATGGTAGTACTGTTTGAAGTTGAGCAATATCCACCTGCTTTCCACAGTGGCTGAACTAATTTACACTCCCACCAACATACATGGTTGCATATGCATAGACTTGCTCTGAAAAAAAAGCAAGGAAACATCAGTCGGTAACTCAATGGGGTAGTACTGAGGGCTGAGGGTGGGGCTCATGCAAAGACATTAAAATTTTCCCTTTATACCTTTTTGTATGTTACGATTTGTTTCATATCAAATACCACTTTTTTTAAATTAAAGACAATCTCTTTTTAAAAAAAAAAAAGAAGCCATTTGTCATAATAGTGTATTGTATTTTCTACTAAATGAGTAGTAGACTAAATGCTCTTGTCACAAGGAGGGAATGGGTAATTATGCGAGATGATGGATATGTTAACTTATTCCACTATAGTAACCATTTTACTACATACACTACATGTGTCCTATAACATCATGTTGTATATTTTAAATATACATAATAAAATTTATTTTTAAAAACTTAAGAAGAAAAATGTTTGTGATAAGTGATTAGTGGAAAGAAATCAAGAGCTGTCAAAGGGGGTAGGGGATGACAGGAGCAAAGAGAAAGATCTGAGATTCATCATGCAAGCAACTGAGCAACCCTAAGTAAAGTTAAATAAAGCTAATACATATGTAGGCATTTTGCTTTCATATAAAGAACATATTTTGTTCCCATGGAAGTTAACGCAATTTTTACCTATTCATATATTTAGCCTTCCTAGCGAGGATCAGAAATTTCTGTCTTCGTTTCTTCATCATTCTTGCAAGTGGGAGCACCAGGGCACACTGGGGAAATGAAGTTACTTTAGACTTCAGGTGTGGGGCCGGGTGAGGTCACCTGGTGGTGTCTCTACACTGGTGTTCACGCTTTCTTGCTGTTGCTACTCCTGTTAGGTACGCGTATTTTCTTAGACTCTAAAATGCTCCTCTGCTGTATTAACTACTTCATAGACAACTGTGATCCAATATCTGACAGGATAGGAACATGGTAATACCTTGATGCAATCCTTCATCCAAAATAATTTGAGACAAACTAATTCTGAAGAAAATTTATGTTGTACTTTTATAGTCACAGGGATAACTTTTGTTACATGCCATATGCATATCAAATCTGTTTCCAACAGGATGAAAACAAAGGGGAATTTAAGTGCAGAAATTATATGTATCTGTATAATTTGGGGGTGGGAACATCTTGAAGCTGCTGATTGCTATTAAGCAAATGCTGCATTCTTTAGCGAATAAGTAGCATCAAAAAGAAAAACCGATATTCTCCCTCCCACCTTCAGCGCCTGAGCAGCCTTTCACCCTTACTTAATGAAATGGAGCCGTTGATGCCTTTAACTCCTCTTTCATTTAATCTCATTAATGCAGTCTGTTAGGACTGTAGTTGTGGGTTAACGCAGGGGCAGTCTTCAGACCTCCCCAGTGAAAAGTGTCATATTTTTCAGTTAGACTTTTTTAATTGCTACGTCAAAATGTGTGAGAACCAGCTCAAAACTAAAGCTGACGCCACTGGTGAGTTTTACATTTTCTTCTCTCTTCTGACATTTAACTGTATGGACCATCCCCCAGGCAAGGAAGTAAGCATTTATAAGCTCTCAGCAAAATAAATTGATAGCTAGGTGTGGGAACAATACAATATTTTCTGACTCAGGAATGTATATAGTGAAACAAGTCACTCAGGCTTAATTTTACACTGGAGAAGATATTTATATATAAATACTGTCATATCCTGGAGTGAACTACCAAATGCATAAATTTTGAGATTAAATTCAAGTAGTTATCCACCACATTATACTAACATTAGGTTAATCATATGAATATCTTTCTCACAGTTTTGTAGCTTTGATTTTGGTCATCGGCATTGCTATCATAGTCATTTTACTCTTTTAAGTTTTAAAAAAATCCATTTGATTTATATATATGATACCAGATGCTTTATCATACGTAAGAAACATATTTTCAAACATAATAGCTATTTGGTTGAATGATTATTAACAATGAGATGAATTACATTTCAGTTTTTCTCCAAAATTTTTTACAAGTTAGTGCATAATTCCCTAGACACACATTATCTCATAACATAGGCAAATTTGGAGCACTGGTTTTAAGAATATTTCAGTGTAAAATGATTTATTGTCATTTCCTTGCTAGTACTAGATAGCAATGCACCACAGTTGGAAAAATTAAAATGTAAATTGATAAAATTGTTTCAAATAATATAGACACTGCATTGTTCAAAAAAGATACTTATCAAACTAGAACTCCTTTAATATACAAACTCAGAATCACATCTTTTCACAATGCTTATAGCTTCCTGGCGCTTGTATTTGCAGGGAAAAAAGTAAATACTGTTTCTATGCAATTACCAATTTCAAAATATATGCATTTAAAGATTTTATTGGTGAAATAAGCTATAACCAGCAGATTGCATTTCTGACATCAGTGGAGTCTTTAAGTATTTATCCTTGCTACTGACAGATTTACTCAGGATATTGTTGCTGCTATTGTTTAGAAATTAATAACACTAGACATACTAACGTCTATGTACTTAATCTTCTTTGGGTCTGAATTACAATAAGCAGGGGCTCAAAGGTGAACAGAAATGTTTCTTTCTCCTCTGATTTTGCGTTTAAAAAAACATGAAGTTATCTTCTACTGTAAAATTATATAAAACATAGTGGCCGATTTTTGGGATTTATGTACACATACACACACACACACACACAATTCACTTTTTAAATGAACTATATGAACAAATGTGTTTTTGCTTTTTGCAAAGAGAACCAGATATTTCTCTTTCTCCACTTAAATTTTAGTAGAATTAAAATGAGTATCCCAAATGAAAGCTGTAGTTTAAAAAAAAAAATTCCTACAGTAGAATACCTGGTGTTATGCTTAGTAATTCATAGTTTTCGGTAATGTTTTCTCGTCTAATATTGCCCCCCAAAAAAACTCTGCCTCTTTAGAAGTAATTCAAATGTCTAAAAAATGGAAAAGACATGTTTTGTACCAATCCAATTTACATGGTAGCATCAACATGCCTTTGCTACAAATTAATGTATAAGAAACACAGCTAACAAATGGAACAACCATAAGTATCTCCGTTCAAATGTTAGTATAGATCACCAAAAGATCATTAGATTGTTCTACTTGTAAAAAAAGCAATTTGAAAGACGGAAATTTGTTAAAGTGAAATTTGAAAATTATAATATCGTTTCTCACTACTTTTTGTGGCAATTATACACAGTGATGTTGTCTCTGGGAATAAGGGACAGTCGACATGTTCATACAACTTCACCAGCTTACATAAACACTGAATAAAGCTGTTAGGGATTAGGTGCAGCATGCTGGATCTGATGCGCTCAAATATAAGATATCTCGGGTCCCATAATATTTAGGATTATGCTGGTAATCTCTTTAGAGAAAGTGTGCAGTATCAGCAGAACAGACGCGTCAGTCTTTGAGGGAGCTATTCACTAATTCTACATTTGCTGGGTGACTAAACCTCCACCTCAGTCCCACACTGACACCGGGCCTTTGTGACATTTCGCATAGGGTGAAATTATAAGAGGGAGCTTCTAGAGTAACATTCTAAATTATCATTTTGCTCCTGAAGCAATTTCTGGTATGGCGTGCAAATGAGAATACTTTCCTTTAAATTCTGTATGTCTCCTTTTCAAAAAGACCCCATGGGTAAGGATAAACTAAACTCAAACTTGCCTTTCTCTGACCTCTAAAGTCGTTCTTATCTCTAGAGATGAAATAAGAACTAAAATTATCTCTTTAATTCTTTGATTTCCTTTTATATCAAGATTCAATTCTGAAGCAATGGAGGCTAAATTGCAAATCTGTTGGAACATAAATTATATAACAACGTCATTTTCAGTGCAGAAATTGACAATATAGTCGTAGCGTCATCTATGTTCAAAAAAAGTCAAAGCTCTTTTGGATAATCCAAACAATCTCACACACACACACACACACACACACACACACACACACACACACACACGTGCGCATGCCAGTAAATATCTCACCTATGTTCTATAGTTTGTGTATATAAGTATTTGGGGCATCAGTGGCTAAAGGCACATTAAAAATCAAAAGTGTCTGTAAACGTGAAAAAGGGACAAATAACACTACAGGCAAATTGGTAAGATGTTATGAACCAGTTAAATAAAGTTACTATTAGATTAGGAAGAGAAATGTTAATAGAGTCCTAACATTCTAATCTTACATGGACATTATCTCAGTGTGGGGTGATAATCCACTCACACACCTCATGAGAAGATATGACGTCACTTTTATTTTACAACGTTTCTTTTTTCTAAAACAAAGGCATTGAAATTGTTTCTGATCACTGTATTTTAGAACATAGCCTCCTTCTTTTCTCTGCCGTCCTGTCTCGTCTCTTTTTTTAACACACTCAAGAGATTTAGTATTTCTTTGCCACCAACCAGAAAAAGACATGTTTTGCTTATTTTCAAACTCTCTGAACAAGTGCTGAGAACTTCAGGAATGGTCTCTACTGTGTCTATCAATGAATACAATGAGAAACAGCATGTATGCTTTCTACATCAAACTTTAGTTACTTGACTTTTGCTCGTGTGTGTGTGTGTGTATGTGTGTGTGTATATTGTGGGGGTGGAGGGCCAAAGGTTATTGTCCCAATCTTTGAATTGTCTGACTCCAAGTATCTAATTTAATGGCTTTATGGTTATAGTTAGCAAGCATGCATTAAATCCTTGGTCTTTTCAAGTATTCTGGAAAACAATGCAGTACAGGAATTACATCTCAGAATACAGTGAATAATACTTGGTCGAACTATATGAAATTGGCAATATTAACCATTTTTTGCACAAAAAGGTGGCAATTTCATATGATTCAACTTGATATATGGTTAGTGACTACAGATTAAGGCATGATTGATAATTCTGGAAGCATTCTGCTACTAGTTACTTTTCATTTAACCCCGTTAACTAAGTCTCCAAAATAAACATGTCATCTGGAATTTTGTTCTTGTTATTAGATTTTCCTTTTTCACTTTTTAACCACCAACTTTAAGATTGCCCTTTCCCATCAGTATTTACTACTTGAAACTTGCTCAATTTCCAAGACCTGGCTCAAAAGCCACCTCAGCACCAAAGCTTCCCAGCTTCCCCCAGTTCATATTAACATCGTCTTCTTCCAGGTTTATTTAGCAGTCATCTGTCTGCCCTGCATTCTGGTGACATAAACGTGTGTGGCTGTAGAATTATAGTATTAATTGTGAAGATAGAAACCTGGTTTTGCACATAACTGTGGTCTAAAATAAACAGATGTTGGCTGAGTTGTTTTTGTTCTCTTGGGGTTTTTTTGTTTGTTTTTGTTTTTGAGA